TGTGCACTGGAGAAGAATGTATATTGTGCTGCTGTTGGGTGAAGTGCTCTATAGATGTCTATAAGGCCAAGTTGGTGGATTGTATTGTTTAGTTGAGAGCTTTTAAGATCCTAGTCGCTACTTGCCAAAGCAGGAGGTGGAACAATGTTTTGTGTAGTATGTTATGCCAATTGAGCTTGATGTCCTCTGTGACTATGGTCCCGAGTCCACAGGTTCAACTACTCGCTCTCTCTGGGTAGTTGGCTGTGACCAAGAAGTGACTACAACCTTGTTGAAGAAATACATTTTTCAATGTGACACAGTACACAGATATATCTCGATATATATATACACACACACACAACTAAAACAACTTCACAAAAACAGCACTTCTCCATACATATGCAACACACTCTAATACTCTTTCTTATGCTTTTTTGAATCATTATGACTTTTAAAGCTGGTCTTTAGCTTGATCCATACTACTGATGTCTCCTGACTGTAATTATGCAGAAAAACATTAAATGACTCTTTGCATCAAGCTAGATAACTCCACTTCTTTTCTTTCATCATACAGCAGCTAGTGGAGAATAAGGCATGAAGCCCTGAACTGTGAAGACGGCATCTGCGAATGTGTCACAAGAGCTCTCCCAGCCCCGCCCTCTGCTTAGCCAACATTCCTGTTAGGAAGACATGAGGGTCCTGAGCAGTAATTGGGACAAAGCAAATTTCAGTGGCCACAGAAGAGTCACCGGGCAAGGCCACTCCTCCAAAATGTTTCTATCAAATGCAAACGCTTTGCATGGGGTGGAAGGAGGCAAACTCCGTCACAGCAAATGAATCCCATGGTGACTCCAAATGGTGGCATATCTCAGGGGCTTCCCAGCATTTGGGATTGGCCTTCACACCTTACCTTCCATCGAGGCAGGCAGTCAGAGGGCTTCCAGTGACCTCCGAGCTTAATGGCTGGATCTTTGGAGAAGATTTCATGAATGTCATCCATTCCAATTTCACTCATGTTTATGTCTATTGGGCCCTCTGAACAGAGAAGAAAAGAGGGTTAAACAGCCAGGAAATAAGTTTTTGGTTTTTTTTTACAAAGTGTTATTCTCTGGAAAAGGTGAATGCTTGTTCAGTTGACTTATTTTTTAGCCAGTATGGAAGCACCTTCCTCCCCTGTTCAACTCAATGTATTTCAGTTCTCAATACACTGCTATTATCTTTGTAAAGCAGCAAACACAGAAAGTGAGATTTCTGAATTCGGCCTCTGCCAAGGATGCAGTGAGAAATGAAGACTCTAAACAAAACAGCAACTGAAAATGATTTCTGATAACCAACTTTCACCCTCAAACATCTCTGCTACTGAACCTTAAACTTCCCAAAGAGGAAGTGGGAAAGCAGCTGAGCTCGGAGCTCTCTTAAGCATGTTCCTGAGGTGCTCAGACACACACCGACCATCCCAGTTAATTCCTGGTAAACTGGAGGCCCAGAGGCCCACCTGGGCAAATCACGTCCAAGCCCAGAACACATGGTCACCTGTGACTTTTGTCAAGAGGCAGAATGAAGAAGTCTATAAGCACAAAAAAGATAAAACAGCTTAATGTAACTGTTTAGATTACATATGGATTCCAAGAAAGAAAAAAAGTCAAGAGAATTTTTTAACCACCAGTACTTTGTTGAGAAAACAATGTCCCCAATATCAGGCAAATCATAGTGTCGGTGTGAGACCGACAATGACAGACACAGCCTGTCTAAATTCTTACCTATCTAAAATACACAATATATGTTCTTTACCCAATGCCGGCGAGTCAGCTCTGACTCACAGTGACCCTGTAGGACAGCGCAGAACTGCCCCATAGGGTTTCTAAGCTTTCGGTTAGCAGCTAAGTGCTTTAACTGCTGCACCACCACATACCCAAGCCACAAAGGAGGAGGCATATGCAAAGGAAAGAGTGAAAAATGTGGTAGAAAAGGTACCCAAGAGCACAGGCAGCCTCCAGAAAGGCTGGAGGGATGTCAGATCACAAATGACTGGCACGGTCCCTGCTTCCAAGGGCAGGGAGGTGTTTATACTCTTATAGAAGACATGCACATAGAGCCCGAGGGACCGAGAGCACGTCTCCCTTCCATTTTAACCAATGAAAACCGTTCTGAAAGCAGAGAAAGACAATCTGGAGCTGTACTCACTCATAGAAGGGAGCCTTTCAGGGCAGGTATGGTTTGCAAAATAGGTGAAGTCTTCGGGAAGGAAAGTTGTGGTCTGTAGGAAGGTTTCACTGTGATTCAAGTCAAGAGGATAATCTGGAGGGAAAAAAAGGCATCTGAGACTGGTGCCTGTCATCAACACCGCAAACCTTAGTCACCTGCCAAAGAAGAGTCAGCTTTTTCTAGATTTCATCCTTTGTGGAAGCAGGACCCCGGATTAGCTCTTGATCAGTTACAAATGTGAAACTGCCAGTAATAATAAAAAGAAATGCTAAGTAGGCAATAAAAGGAGACCTTTGGCATGGTGCCTAAGGCATTTAACTGCTAACCAGAGATTGGAGGTTCAAACCCCCCAGCTGCTCCGTGGAAGGAAGATGGGACAATCTACTTCCATAAAGATTCACTGCCTTGGAAACCCAATGGGGGTTGCTATGAGTTGGACTTGATTTGATGGCAGTGAGTTAGTTAGGTTAGTTAAGTAGGTGATACCATTTTAACCAGCCTTTCTATCCTTATTGGCATCACAGCCTTACACACATTCAGTTTAGATCAAAGAATCCTACAAGGTAATTAAAAAACAAACAAGGCAACCACAGCAGTTTCCAATGCTCCCTTCCATTTCTCATTCTCTAAAGGAGTTATTCTCACCTCTCACAGTGACTATTCCAGAATTTGTATTTAGTATTTATCTCCATTAGCCTGTAGAGCTATGATGTCAAGGGTGACTAGCAAATCCTGCTGACTATGCCAATTGTGTAAACCAGCCCAGGGAGACTAAGATCACCCACTACTGATGCCAAATTGTGTGGTGGGAAACAAATCCCATTCCACACACCAACCTCATCCTACGGAAATCTGTCTCCCTTCCCTAGTGAGTCCAGACTCTGGCTGTCCACTCAGCCCATCTTGCCCTTATTTATCCTAGGTCATCAAGGACTAGATCAGTGGGTACCAGCTGCAAGCTCGAGAGCCCAGACGACGCCCTCCACATCAGAGCAGCCAGCCCTCATGCCTCCTTTGGGTCCTGTAATGTACTGGAATGACTCAGAGCTCATGGAGAAATACCGCACCTTCACTAACAGCTTTAATTTCACAAAAAAGGATACGAACGAGAGGTGCCTAGAGCAGGTCTGGGAGGGTCCCAGAGTGGAGCTTCCATGTCCCACAGGGGTGTGCTGCCCTCCCTGAGCAGAAGGTCTGTCCTACCAACCAGGAAACCCCATCCCAGCCTCAGGGCTCAAGGTTTGCATCGGCCTTACCATATGGCCACGAGAGCTTTTCCTTTAGGCCTGAATCAGCACTGGCCCCCACGTGGTCCCTCTTGGTCTGGCCAACCTCACTCATTAGCCTCAAACGCAGTCCGGCTCTTAAGAACCCAAAATAAAAGGGCAAATTGCTTTCTGAACCTCACGAGAGCTAATCTTGTTTCTTTCATCTTATCTACTGACTTCCCACTCTAGGTTAGGGTTTGGCTCCCCTTCCTAGCCCTGCTTCCAGCACACATGGTACCCCTCCCATCTCCCTATACCCGCCCACTCCATGGAGTCAAATTGGACTCCCAGAGAGCCTACAGGACAGAGTAGAACTGCCCCAGGGGATTTCCAAGGCCGCAACTCTTTACAGAAGCAGATCCCTTCATCTTTCTCTGCTGGGGTGGCTGGTAGCTTCCAACCACCAACCTTCTGGCTATCAGGTGAATGCTTTAACCACTGCCACCACCAGAGGTCTTTCATCTCCCTATATCTATATGATAATCTTTGGTGTTCAAATTATGATGATTTTAAAATAGAATTCACATTTGCAAAATATGGAAAATTATGATTACTTTTCCTTTCCTCAACAACTTCCTTCCACCCCAAGTGGCTGTCTTGTTTTTCTGGTTGCTTAGTTTTAGATGTAATAATTACTAACTTAACACTATCCCTTTTCCCAATACATCTCCTCTGAAGACATTCACATGCATCAGGTAGTCTATCAACTTCATCTTCCAAAAAAGGTCCAATACTTCTGACCAACACCAGTCTGGCTGGGCTCCTCTGTGCCTGATGCTGTCTCCAAGCCCCTCACCTCCCCATCCCAATGATCTGAAATTCCCCTCACCGCTCTTTGATGTTGAACCTCACATTTCCTAAATTCCATCTTTCCCATTTTGCTGTTTGGTGGAGTGCATCCTCTTCTTAAGAAAAGGGGGTGGGAATTCTTTTGCAACCTTGTGCACCTATTTTTATTCTTCTCATTTGACTCGTAGTTTGTCTGGATCTCCATCTCAGGCTGGAAATACTTTCCCATTAGAATTGGGAACTATTTGTCACCGCCTTCTAGCTTCTGTGGGGGGAAATCTGAAGCCATTTTAATTCCTGGTCTTTCCAGTAACTTCTTTCTGGACGTGTGAAGAATTCTCTTTGCTCAGGAAATTTCTGGTTGGTGTGCCTTGCTGAGTCTATGTTCAGCCAGTGTGCTGGCCATTCAGTGAGCCTTTAAGGACTGAAAATTCAAGTCCTTCTGTTGTAAATTCGGGCAGGAGAGGGTTGGATTGTGGTGATCATTTCTTTCCTTTTGTATTCTCTGCTCTTTTTCTGAAAAGTAGAGAATATGAGTTGGATGCCATACCTCCTAGCCCTCTGATTTTCTCCTTTATACAACTTTTTATCTTGCCATTTGCCTACTCTACTTTCCAAGAGATTTCTTCAACTTCACCTAAGCTTCAGTTAATTTTAATTTCTACTATCATTATTTTTAACTTCTAAGAGCTCTTTGTATTTCCTGAACAATCTTTCTTACATTCTTGTTTCATGTTTGCAATCAGGACATCAGAAGACTCATTTAACAATCTGCAATATGCAGACAACACAACTTTGCTTGCTGAGAGTGAGGATGACTTGAAGCACTTACTGATGAAGATTAAAGACTACAGTCTGTGGTATGGATTACATCTCAACATAAAGAAAATGAAAATCCTCACAATTGGACCAATAAGCAGTATCACAATAAATGAAGAAAAGATGTTGTTGTTGTTATGTGCCGTCGAGTCAGACCCGACTCATAGCGACCCCTCCTTGGGTTTCCGAGGCAGTATCACTACGGAAGTAGATTGCCCCATCTTCCTTCCGAGGAGTGGCTGTTGGGTTTGAACTGCCAAGAAGAAAAGATAGAAGTTGTCAAAGATTTCATATTACTTGGTTCCACAATCAACACCAATGGAAGCAGTAGTCAAGACATCAGATGACGCCATACTGCACTGGACAAATCTGCTGCAAAAGACCTCTTTAAGGTGCTGAAGGGCAAAGATGACTGTGTCAAGACTAAACCAAACTCCAAATTCACTGCCGCTGGGTCAGATCCAACTCACAGCGACCCCTCCTTGGGTTTCTGAGGCAGTATCACTACAGAAGTAGATTGCCCAATCTTCCTTCCAAGGAGTGGCTGGTGGGTTTGAACCGCCAGCCTTCTGGTTAGCAGTCAAATGCCTTAGGCACTACACCACCAGAGCTCCCAAAGCCATGTTACTTTCAATTGCCTCACATGCATGTGAGAGCTGGACAATGAGTAACGAAGATAGAAGATGTGTTGTTTTTGAGTTGTGGTGCTGGTGAAGAATACTGAAAGTACCACGGACTGCCAAAAGAACTAACAAATCTGTCCTGGAAGAAGAACAGCCAGAATGCCCCTTGGAAGCGAGAATGGCCAGACCTCGTCTCATCTACTTTGGTCATGTGGTCAGAAGGGACCATTCCCTGGAGAAGGATGTCGTGCTTGGTAAGATGGAGGGTCGATGAAAAAGGGGAAGGCCCTCAATGAGATGAATTGACACAGTGGTTCAGGTACAGCAAGGACTGTGAGGCTGGCACAGGACTGGGCAGTGTTTCATTCCGTTGTACACAGATAGGGTCGCTATGAGTCGGAGCCAACTCAGCAGCACCTAACAACAATAACAACAACAACATACATGTGACAGTTAAGTTTTCTTCTCTCTGTGTAGTCTGTTTCTCTCAATTTGCTTTTTCTTGCTTGTTTTTGATCTCTAGCATGGCGATCCTTGATTGTCTGATAATATTTATGAGTGGGAGGGTTTAGACTACGTGCTTCTTAATTGTCATTGTTCTGGTCAGGAAATTTGGTTTGGAAACTTCCAGTGTAAAAATACTTGGTCCTTTCCTCTTGCTGATCAGATTCTCCAGAGAAAACTATTTAAATCTTCTAGAATGGTACAGACCTTGCTACAAGCATCCTGGAACGAGGAGGAGAAAAATGTAGATGGCATATGTTGGCCCCCTCTTTTCAATACTGCACTCAAATGCTAAACCCTGTCTGGTGTCCTCAAGTACAGAGACCCTCTTTTACCATCTCTAGAGGCTAAGTCTTTTGTCAGGATGGGAAAATGGATCTGGGTATTTGACGTCTTTTTCAATACCTCTCAACCAACCCTTATCTTAGCTCTTTCTTTTATTTCTACATCCAAACAGACTTAATATTGCTAATTCCTAAGCTTCTGGGTGACTGGGGTATAAACAGGTGGTTCTTGTCTTTCCCTGTTGCCGTATTAGGAGTCAATTTCCTTAGGCCTGTTAAGTCTTTTATGACTGATCTGCTTCCCAACTTTTAAACTTTTTGCCCAGGTCTCCTTTTCTCTTCTCATTCATAAGCGTTTATGCCATTTTGAAAGTATTGTTGTTGTTTTAAATACATATACATGTGTGTATTTTAAGTGGAGTCACTTTAAGTGGACTTTAAAAGTATGAAGCAGATTGCTCTTTGCCAAGTGACTGTAACACTGGAACAGAACAGGGCTCCTCCAACCGCTGTTTTTTTTTTTGTTTTTTTTTTTTTAACAGATGAAGACACTGGATCTTTTACACATGACTCCTGCCAAGAGACAGGGCTGAGGTGGGACAGAGCTCCACCTCAACTCAGGGTCAGGGATCTTCCCACTATGCATACTATTTGTCTCGTGGTATTAAACTCTCCTGCACTAACCCTTTTAGATTCAGTCCTATTGCTTTTTAACTTTGTTGTTGTCGCTGAGAATATACACAACAAAACACACGCCAATTCTACAGTTTCTATGTGTACCGTTCAGGGACAATGATTACATTTCC